TTCTATGTTTGAGCGGATCTCAGGTTGTAAAAATGAAATTAAGTTTATATTGTTTTATGAGTCCCATCCGTGTCTGAGAACCTTTGCTGAAACCTTTCAGGGCGAGACCAAGTTGGGATTCCCCGTTCCCCAGTTGCCCTCGATTCTCCTCCAAGGCTCGTTATTCAGATGATGGAGCTCTTTCTTTTGTGGTTAAGATGACTTTATGTAGGTTGCTAGAAAATTCTTCTTTTAAAACTAGATGTTACTGAATTAATGTGGCTGATTGATACAAGGGAGATCTTGCGCTGTAACGTTTTTATGGTACCATTACTTAAAAAAGAGCGAATGGTCTAGAAGAATACAAAGGGGTTCCCAGAAGTAGCCATTGGTGAGGATAGTATCTTGAGGGTCCCAGAAAACTTTGAAAGCCTATGCACATACATATGTGAGCATGTATGTATGTATGCATATATGTTTTTTCCTCCCCAAATAGGTTCATATTCTGTTCTATATCTTGTTTTCTTAAAAACCAATGTTGATTTTCTTTCTATATTAAGTCCATGTAAATAAGAAGAAAAAGGAAATAACATTTCTTTACAAGCCACACATTCATCTAACATATGGCTAAGCCATGTATTCACCCAGTCCCCACGTGGTGGCTTTTGGGGTCCTTCCCAGTTTTTTGGTGTGATGAACTGTGACACGTTCCTGGGCACTCTTCTCTGCACATGTATACAAATACATGTAAATGACCCAGCAGAACACATTTTCCCACTGGAAATTGCTAGGTTGATGGTGCATGCATTTTGAAACTTAATAGTTAATTGCCAGGTTGCTGCGGCAGTTACACTCCCACTAATAGACCTACCAGTGTTTATTAAGCACCTGTTGTACTCCTGGCATGCCCAGACATTGAGCAAGCTGGGCATTGACCCGGGCTCCTGTTGATTTGCTGTATATGAGAGGCTTTTGCCCAGTTAAGCTAAATTTTACATTTTAAGGGGTTTTGGATCAGGCGAACAAAGTACACAGGTGCTTTGGTTTTGTTCCAGTTTTAAAAATGTGTTTAAATTTTAAACAGTTTTTGACTTCTCTATTATTTATATATAAAAAGTGTAAAAGCTTGACTCATAATCCAACCATGCAAAGGCCACTCCACTCTGATTTTCACACATGCTTTCTGCTTTAATCATGTGTTCTGATTACAAAAGTGATACATACTCCTTGTGACAAAACATACAATAAAGAGATGTTAAATAAAGCCTGGACATGCTTCTCTTTTGGGCTCATCAATTACCAAGGTATTCTTCCATTCCTTTCTTTATAATCATATAGACGCTTACAAACTTTATTTAAATCAAAGTGGGTTGTTATAATCATTACTGTGCTTTTTTTTTTTTTACCTAATATGCTATGCACATTAATACATAGACTCTCACTAACCCTTTTTGATAGGTGTATAATATTACAGTTTACAGATTTGCTATAATTAATTCAGCCATTTCCCTATTAATGACCATTACTTGCATTGAGTTCCTATTTTTTTTGTTTCAGTAGACAGTACTCCAATGAATATCCTTATACATGGGTCAAAATTATGTAAATTTTTATTTCTGATAGGTATGGGCTGGTATTTTTCCAAAAAGATTGTAGCAAATTCATTTCCAATGACAGCAAATCAGAATCCCCATTTCTCTGCATTCTTCCCAGCATTGGACACAACTGCATTTTGTTAATTTGATGGATAAAAAATGTTTTCATCTACATTTCCTCTTTGGTTAGAAGCTGAGCATCCTGCAGCATTCCACAGGGATTCGTGTGTTCTCTTCTGTGTGTCTTTTTATGTCCTTTTTGGATATGGGTAGACTAGCTTGTTTTTTTCATGTTAATTTGCAGGGGCTTTTAGCATACTGGGGACCTTGCTCCTTTATCCTGTATTTTAAATATCTTGTTATAGGCTGTTGTTTGTCTATTGGCACGTTAACATTTGTGCTTGTTCATATTTGTATGTAGTTTTGCAAGGTTGCACTTGTAGATTGCATACCAGTTTGTTTCCTATGTTTTTATTTACTGTGGCTGTGAGAATTTTCCCATGTACCTACATAACCTTTGTAGTTATCTTTAAATGTCCAATCAATAGTTCCTTGTGTTGGTGGACTATAATTCATAATTCACATAATTATTACTTGTGGTTTGACATTTAGATTGCTGTGTTTTTTTCCTTTTTTTTTTTTTTCTTTTAAAGAAAACATTGTAAAGAATATCATGTGGACACAGGGCCTCTTGGCTTATTTCCTTAGAATATATTCTTAGGAGTAGAATGAATAGCCCACTATATGGGCAAAGATTTTGCTCTAGCTGTCAGTCTTATTTGTTTTCCAAAATGGGCTGCCCTGAATCGTCTCTGGCCATTCTAGCTGGGTCTAAGGATACCCATTATTATTATTGTTATTCAGAACAGATGATGGGTGTGTCTTGACCTCAGGCAGCTTTCAGATTCCTCCAATCAGTCTTGTGAAACTGGGAACCAGTGGGCAGGAAGAAAGCTGGAGCTGATCTGGCGGTGAGAAAGGTGACCTGGTAGTTATAATTAGGATGGCTTATCTGAGGCCCTTTGATTAAGGCCTCCCTGATTTCCTAACCCAGGATCCTGGAGAAAAGACACGTGTGCTGTCAGGGTCTCTCTGAGGGCTGCAGTTGTAGTTTATCACGGGGCTCTTCTGCAGAGATGTGTGGAGTCAGGGTTGGCCACTTCATACCTGGTGCTGGGGGCAGAGCTGGCCCACCTTGGCTTTACTGCGTAACTGATGGGTGGAGGGGCTGGAGAAAGGGCTCAGCTCTTTATTCCCCAAGGGGCTATGGGATGGGGTGGGGGAGGGGAAGCTGGGACAAGGGAAAGGTGCTGCTCCAGAAGAAAGCCAGGGAGGCCCTTACAAAGCTGCGACCTTTTGCTTAAAAAAAAAAAAAAGAAAAGAAAAAAATAAAAAAGAAGAAGAAGAAAAGAAAAGGGGGGTATACAGCAGTATCAAGAGGCCGGGTTCAGGTGCCTTGATTGGAAAATTGGTCTTGCCACTTTCCAGCATGGGACCTTGGGCCAGTTCTTTAACTTCCGGGAGCCTCAGTTTCTGTCATGATCATGCTGCGTATGTCACAGGCTTGTGAGTAAGAAGAGGGGTCCCATGGAGAGGATGTTCCGTGCGGTGTCTGGCACGGAGGTGCTCCGAGGGTGCTAGCCGGGGTCATGGAGGAGGTGGCTTGGCAGTGGAGTGCGCTTTTCTGGTGTGGCAGTTCTCTTCTTGTGATCTCTGGGCCATGCAGGCCTTAGCAGGATCCGGACAGAGCCCAGCCGGACATCTTGACCCCAGGGACACCCGTCTGGGCATGTGAGACAATTCAGGTTAATTCGCCCAGTCAATACAGGGTGTCTGTCTGTGGGGTGCGTGGGTCCGGGTGAGGCGTGCCGGGAGTCTATTGGATAAGATGAGGATAGGGTTTCAGCTCTGAAATTGGGCTGTGCGTGGGGAGGTTCATGCTGCAGGTTTGATTTGTGGTTGAGGATTAGGAAATCTTGTTTAACTACCTAAATCACGGCATCCGTGTGAAGCTGAGCTGTGACAACCCTGAGAACTGCTGACAGGTACATTGGAAGTTCCAGGTTTTCTGTTACTGTAAACATGGTAGTGTTAGATTACTTAAAGGGATTTTTTTTTCTTTTCTCCTCATTCTCTTCTTTGATATTGTAAGAGGTACAAGTATAAAATGAAACAGTACAGAAACAAGGAAAAAATAAAAATCCACCATCCCTTCACTTTTCTAGAGATAATCCTATCGGCAGATTGGTGTTTTTAATTTTCAGCCTTTCTTCCTCACAGATCCTAAACATATAGTATTTTTTAAAAAATAAGAACGAGATCCTATGAAAATGTACTGTTTATCTTTTGTTTTATGGACTAGTGCTTCTTGGACATGACCTATTTTTCTTAACAAATATTTACGTGACGATGAAATGTAAACATGAACCTAATGAAGCAATTTGCTAACAAGTGTTTCTTCTTGAGGAAGTTGGTGATAGCCTTGTTTTCTAAATCTCTGTGTTCAGGTAGGTCGTGGGGAAGCCATGAGGCAAGACTTGAGTGAGTGGGTGTCTTAGACCCTTATGGGTGCCCTTGCAGGGGGTACAGCCTCTAAGGGTCAGAACCCCAGGCCCGTGAATTGGTCCCATGGCTTGCCTCCCTTCATTGGACAGTCTCTGAGGGTCTCCTTAATAGCCTTTAACTGGGCTCGATGCTGGGAGTCCAAAGGTATGAGGAGCAGGCTTCCCTGCACACACGTTGAGCCTCCAGTCTTGTCGGGGAAATGGACAAATGGAAAATCATAACCATGAAGTGTTTTGAAGGGGAGCTATGTGGTGCTTAGTGAGTGCGCTAGGGAGGGTTTCATCTGGTTGGAGAGAAAAGGGGAGACTTGAGTGAGTAGCCTATATTATGGTATAAATTTGGCCATGTGTGGCAAAGATCCCAAATATAGTGGCTTAAGATTCAAACTAATTTCTCACATAAAAATACCAGCTCATGTGACAGCTCTGCCGAGGAAATGGTCAGGGGCCCAGCCCCCTCCTATCTTGTTGCTCTGCTCCCATCATCTGCACGGATCAAGATGGTGCACTTCCATGTCCAGGTGCTGCCTGTAGGAAAGAGGAGGAAGGGCACAACCTGGAAGTTGCCCACAGCTCTTCACATCCCATTGGCCGGTACCTAGTCACATGGCACATCTAGCTGCAAAGGGGCATGGGAAATGTAGTTTCCTTTCTGGGCAGGCAGGTGCTTAGCTAAAGGTTGTGTTACTAGGGGATGAGGGCATGGATATTGGAGTACCTTTAGCAGTTTCTGCTGCTCAGGTAAAAGCAGACAGTAAGAATGTTCTAGGCAGTGGGAAAACGTGCAGAAGCCCCAGCTTAATGAGGAAGGCCATTGTGCTGGAGCTCGAAGAGCAGGGCAGAGAGAAAGGAGCAGGAGGAGACTGAGAACTGGACCAGCCAGGCTTGGGTCCTCCAGGAATCTTTGGTTCCTGTCTTTCCCCCTCTCCTTGCTTTGCCATTAGCTCTAAAACAGTGTTTAAAGCAATCTTTAAAAGCCACATCCTTTTCAAGTGGTGGAAAAACCAATAATTAAATCGATTCTAGTTTTTGCCTTGTCCCTGTCTTGCTTGTGTGACTTCGGTGAGAGTAGTTTATTTTTGTAAGTAAAATGGCATGCATTGTGGTCTACTCTGTCAAGAGGTGTGCCAAGCCCCACTGTGCACACCTTGTTTCAGGCCTACCGTAATGCTGTGTAGGTGCTCTCAGAACTCTTTATTTTAGATGGGGAAACTGAGGTGCAGTTAAATGTGCCCAGGTTTACGCAGCAAGGGGTGTATTTAAACTCAGCAGTTTGACTTCAGAGCCTGCCTTCGTCCCCACTGTGTTTTTCCTCAGTCATTTGTGTATAGTCTTCGTGATTCTGACGTCTGTCTCTCACCTCATATTTGTTAGGATTGCACTGGGCTTCAATAAACACCCTGCCTCCAGCAGCCCATACAGGTACTTTTTTACATCTGAGGAGTTTCAGTACCTCTGGTAGTTGCTGGCATTGGATTAGCAACCCAGTGGCATTAGGGCTGACACCTCTGCTGATTCCATTGTCTGTTTCTCAAGGCCCTTAAATTGCTGTTGCAGCTCTAACACACACCTCTAGGTTCAAGAGAGGAAGAGGGGAGGACTGCATCAGCCTCACCTGTCCCTTCTCTACTCAGGAAAGTAAAAGTCTTTCCAGAGGCTCCTCTCCCTGCACTGCAGACTTCTGCTCGAATCTCCTCCACTGGCGCTGGATCCCAGGGCCATCTCTAGCTGCAAGGGAGGCAGGACAAGTGAGCATTTGGTTTGATGCCTCTCTGTTGGGAGACAGCAAGGGAGATGGGAGTCAGGAAAGGTATTGAGTAAGCCAGCCAGTAGTGTCCAGTGTGTACTATTAACTTAATATTTTTCTTTGAATCAATTCACTTTTTTTAACCTTAATAAATTTATCCCAAAGGAAGTTTCATATCACTTTAGAATATCTATGAAGTCGCAGGCTTGTCATCTTTATGTCTTTACCTAATAGCTATTAAAGTAAGTACATCACTACTAAAAAAATGATATTTTGCAAATCGCCTAGGTCAGTGGTTCTCAGCTCTGGGTGATTTTGCCCCCAGGGTACATCTGGAAACATCTAGGAACATTTTCTTCGTCGTCACAACCAGAGGAGGGGGATGTTCCTGGCATCTGGTGGATAGAGGGGCCGGGGAGGTGCTAAGTGTCCCACAGTGCACAGGACGGCCCCACAGCAAAAAGTTGGCCGCAAATGTTGACAGTGCTGCAGTTGAGAAACCTTGGCCAGGGCTCAGTCCAAGTGCTGCCAGGAGTGTAGACAAGCTGCGTCTGGGTGATGCTGCAATTCGCCAGTCCCCACTGTGTTTTCTCCTGGGGGGCTGTGTATCAGTGGCGCGTTACACCTGCAGCCGGCTTGTCCGTTTGCAAGGTCTGTTCCCACAGATGATAGCAGCAATCCCGTGATGTAGTTTAAAATGTCTGCGTGAATGCAAGATGTGCACCTTACAGAGGGCAGTGAGGGGGCAGCTCATTGACCCTGAAACTGACTGAAGTGGTTGAAATGATGGCTCCTTTGCCAGGCAGATCCTATGAGCCAGTGATTTGGAAAGAATACTGCTTGCAGAGAGCATTTGCTCTCATGGGGCTTGGCAGAAACTGTGGCCTCTTGGTGACCATGTGCTTTGGAAAGGGCTGTGCTTTGGTGAGTGGGAGATTTTTATTGGTTCTTCCCTGCCTGGGTTTGGCAAAAACATCCTGGCCTGGGCATGTGCCTTGGTGGAGGTGAAAAGGCAGCTGGCAGGTGGAGGTTGTCCGAGATGAGGCTGCGGCGGGTTTGCCGGAGCCGGCCTGGTCAGGTCGCTTGACAGTCACGCTCAGTACCTCCCATCCCTTGCCCCTGCCTGTTAAAGTCAACTGAGCTTTTATAGAGCAGGAGTGAGGGGTGGGGGGTGTGGCTAAGAGGGACTTTTTCATTTTTCTTTCTTGATTGTGGAAACTTAGGGAAAAAAGCCTCTTGCCATCCCTCAGTGGTGCAGCTAGGTTAGAGAGGAGACCATCCTGTCGATACACACGTGCCACAGTTCATGGGACCCGAGAGGCCAGCGGTGGTGACATGCGTCCCAATTTCAGAGACGTTGTAACAACATGGTCAGCAGTATTTATGGGATGGAATGATTGAGAGACACAGACTGACAGCAAAGATATTAAAGTGTGGAGAAATACAAGTCTTAGCATCAGTGCAGTATGATGACAGCTTCCAGTTTCTTCCTTCCTCTCTTCATTGCTTCCTCCTCTTCTGTCTGTTAATCCTTTTGTTGTCATACATCTGATGCTTGGTGCTGGGGCACAATCCACGGTGAGTGAGATGTTCGCCGTCCCTGTCCCGTGGAGGCCCAGGTCGTGGACACGTTCAGAGAGCCACTGTAGCCACCATTCGGACCCTGCTTCTGCCGCTAGCTCTGTGACCTTGGACAAGTGACTTTATCTCTTCACGCCTCTGTTCCCTCATGTGCAAAGTGGGGATAATAGTAGTGCCTATCTTACAGAGTTGTAAAGTTAAATGAGCTAGTTGTTTTACTGTTACGTATATAGCAGTATACTTTTTACTAGCTAGTGACTTCATCTCGACAACCACCCTGGGAAGTTGGGACTGTGGTTATGCCCATGTTACGGATGGGGAAACCAGAGGCAGACAGAGGTGAAGTCACCCAGCAAGTAGATGACAGACCTGGATTTAAACCCAGGCTGTCTGGCTCCAGGGTCTGGCCAGAAACCCTCAAACTGTGCTGTCCCGTAAGCACCCTGGGGTGGGCCAGAGAGGAGTTTAGCAGGCTGTGCCACGTGACTTTGGTTAATCCTTGAGCAAGGCAGAATTAAAGTCAGTTTTCTAGGGGAGGCTTCAGCATTTTGGCTTGTGGCTTTATGAGCTGTTTACTCAAACAGTGACGGTGACAACAACAACAGTAGCAATAACACTATGGTAGAAGTAGCAGCAGCAAACTCACCCCCTAATGACTACCCTTCTTCCCAATGTTGAGTGTCATGCCCTCTGAGAGATGAGTGTTATTCCTTCCATTTGACACACTCAGAGAGGTGGGGTGAGTTCCCCAAGGCTGCACAGCCAGGAGGTGGTGGTGCTACTTGTGCCCATCTGCTGCTCCAGAGCCCAAGCCCCACACCGCCAAGTCAAGTCGTGGGGCTTCCCTTGCGCGCTGCCCGCTCGGCCGGCCCGTGTGCACGGCCATGGGGAGTGCAGAGTGCAGAGCCAGGGCTGCGGTTGGGAGCAGCCAGAGCTCGGGAGGGACGGGTGAGCCAGGCCGGCTCCAGGGCGGGGTTGGCGTGGGGTTGGCGGGGTGAGGACTGGGGTGTCTCTGAGGGAGCATTTGACGATGACAGCAGTTTTTCCAGTTTCCTGTTCCTCGCTGTATTCAAGAGAAGGGTAAGCCCGCAGTTTTCCCTCTTGATTTCACAATTCCTGGGAGCTTTTGCTGTGTCTGAGTGATGCAGCACTTTCCTGGTTGGAATCCTAAGTGAAGTTTCATTTTCCTCCACTCAGCTGGCCCAGGCCCTGGCCCTGGCCCATCCTCCAAGTGGTTTTAGCCACTGGGCCCTCTCTTGGCTGATGGGTCCATGTCTTAACGTCCTCGCACACCCTGAACTTGCCCAGACACTGTCTCCCGTGCTGTTCGGCTCCTCTTGGAATGTCGCTCCCTCCTGTCTCCGTGTTGGCAAATCTTAGCGTCTTGGCTTCCTTAGATTTCACCTACTGCAAGAAGCCTGCTCTGACCTGCCAGGTGGAAATAACAACAGCTTCTATGAGTAGAGTGGTCACTGGGTACCCATCTATTGTCACATAATGATTTTATCCCCGCTATCTCCAGCAGGCAGGACACACAGCAGAGAGCTGGACTGCCTGCATCGAAGTGTATCTCTTCCACATACAGGCTGTGCAACTGTGGGCAAGTTGCTTTCCTTCTCTGTGCCTTACTCCCTTCCTCTGCAAAAATGAGAACGATCCTATCCACTTCAGAGGGGCTGGGGTGAATATGAAATGACTTCATGTGTGAATTTCATCTTCACAGTGTCTCTGAAAAGCAGGTGATTGTCCTTGCCATATGGATGAGGAAAATGAGTTTTCCTTTGTGAATTAACCCCTCTCTCTTCTGCAGACTTCTTGCCATTTATATGTATCTCTCTGACAGCACTTCAGGCTTTTAAAATCCTTCATGGTAGCTATTTATGTACACGTCCTGCCGCCTCGTGCTCAAGATTCTAAGCTGCCTGAGGGCAGGACAAGTGTGTGTGTCTCTAGTTCAAGACCCGTTACAAGCAGGGGCTCAGTAAATGAGTTGAATGACTGGATGGGCAGGTGGATGGGTACTCAGAGTCACTAGATACTGGTGGCAGGAGTGGAAAAATTGTTAAGGCCGTGAATCACAATGGGGAGTGATCTTGCCCCCCAGGGGACACTTGGCAATGTCTGGAGACATTTTTGTTGTCACAGCTGGGGGTGGGGGTGCAACTGGCATGTTGTGGGTAGAGGCCAGGGATGCTATAAACATCCTACTGTGCACAGAACAAATTATCTGACCTAAAATGTCAGTGGTGCCGGGGGTGAGAAACCCTGGGTCAAGAGAATGTGTCACCTAGTAGCAAGATGTATAGCAGCGGGAAAAGATGTCGCATTTAAATTTTTTAAACAAATGCAAATGAGTCTAGTCTAGATGAGGTATCCTTTTACTGCGGTAATGGAGGTCTATGTATATTTATTAATATTTTTGAGGAGGATGTTAGGTTCTAAATGGAGCATGTGTAGGGTGCAAATTACACATAGTCAAAATGACCCTGGGTCTTATCTCTGTTTTCTTTAAACAGCTTTACTGAGATATAATTAATTCACATACTGTATGATTCACCCCCTTCAAGTGTGCAACTAGTGGCTTTTAGTGTATTCACAGAGTTGTGCATCCATCACCATAGTCGCTGTTAGAACATTTTAATCATCCCACTAATTTATCTCTAACCTGGAGCGGTGAGTGCCTGGCCTAATGATCACAAATGCTGACGGCACCGAAGCTGGATCTGGCGTTCATTCATAGATTCCTCGTGCTTCCCGCGAGCCTGTCTGCCCAGAGCCGGGCCCTGAGTGTGGAGTGTGTGTCGAGGGACAGCATCTGGGCATTCACTGCCCTCGAGGAACCAGCAATCTGGGGAGAGAGAGATAAGGAAAATATGCTGTCTACAATAAGCAACATCAGATCACGCCGTAGGAAATTGCCAGCATTCGGCGAGTTTTGACCTACATCGGGTTGGCACACTTTTTCTGTGAAGGGCCAAGTAGTACTTTTTTATTTGCAGACCTCTCAGCAAGATGAAAATAGTCTTTTTTTTTTTTTTTTTTTACAGTTTTAAAAATGTGGGCTCCCTTCTTAGCTTGTGTGCTGTACACCAGCAGGCAGCTGGATTTGGCCCAGAGGCCATAGTCTGCCAACCCCTGACCTACACAAATGGCAACTCATGTGGTTTATCCTGGTCATATATACTATACATGGTGTCTTAACTTCTATGTAGCATATTCCGTAGCCTATGCAATATAAAATATTAGATAATACATAAAATAAAATCTGGAAGAAATATTTAATGACAAAGTCTGGTGAGTGCTCGGTGGGAATGTGCAGAGTGCCGTCGGCTCGTTAGATGGGGGGTTTGACGTGTTTCAGAAAGGTGAGGGGAGGTGGGTGGGCCTCCCTGAGGAAGAGATGTTTCAGCTGAGAGCTGAAGGGTGCCCCTGACTTGAAGGTGGGAGCGGTGAGGAGGAGGTAGACTCCAGGCAGAGGGAACCGACTGTGCAAAGGCCCTGGGGCATGGAGGGGTCCTGGAACAGTGAGCTGGGCTGGACCCAACGGCTGTGGTGAGGGGTTTGTGCTCTATCCTGAGAGCTCTGGGAACCTGGAAGAGTTTTCAGCACAGGGTGACAGGATCAGGACTGCATTTTGGAGATGTCCTCTGGCTGCAGTGTCTAGGGGCGTCGTCACCCAGGCCATGCAAATAGGTATTTGTCGGGCGTGGAATGAATTGAGCAAGTTACATATCTTCTAGTGGTGCACCACTTTTTTTCTTTCATGATTTCAAACTAAAGGGATTGTGTATTTCTCAAGGGTCATGGCTGTGTAGTGTTCCAGCAAATCCACGTGCAGTCATTTCACTGATCGTTTCTCTGCTTTTCACTGGCTAGACTGGTACTGTCCAGTGGAAATAGAACACGGGCCACATGTGGAATCGTAACTGTCTCACAGCTGCGTGAAAATAAAAAAGAAATTGGTGAAATGGTCTTAAAAATGTATTTTATTTAACCCAATATTGCAGAGTATTATCATGTCAACACATAATCAATATGAAAACTATGAGTGAGCTATATTGCACATTCTTTTTTTTCATGTAGAGCCTTTTAAATCCGGTGTGTGTCTTACAGCACATCTCTACAGCGCAGATTTAGGTAGTTCCTATGTTGTTAAAATTTAAACATTATATAATAATAGTATATGCTGTAATATTTATAGAGCGATAAGCCTCTAGGAGCACATACATCTCCAATTAGCGGTGTTTTAAAGACTGAATTTCCGTAGGGGTCACCGGGTCTGCATGTGTTCTTGCTTTTCTGCTTCTCATTATGTAACTCCAGGTTATCAAACGTAACCTGGGCCTTTTTCCTTGTTTTCTGTCACCTTGAGGCTTAGGAGTGATTAAGCGAAGGCCAGTTGGTCTGCAGATCAGGCTTGCCCATGTTTTCTTTGGTTTCTTTGGTTTTCTTTGGAGAAGCAGTTTCTAAGGGAAGTCATCGCGTCATTGTTTGGAATAGCAAAGGACTGGCAGCAGCCCGAGTGGCGGTCCAGGAGGGGCTGGGTCGATACAGTCTGTCCCACCCATTCCGTGGGGGCGTGGGGTGCGAGGAAGCTCTGCACATGGATGTGTCACGGCCTCACGGGACCAGTGTTTAGGTGCAGACGTCAAGATGCAGTCAGTATGTAGCGCTGCCCGGGAGGGCGGGACGCAGGGCTTCACGGGGTTGCTGCCGGGCTAGGTTCGACTTCCAGGTTGGGGGTGTGAACAGATGTCACCTTGCTGGGGCAGGAGCCAAGCCTCCTTTCCCCACTGGCTCTGTTTTTATTGCCTGCGTATCGGTTTCCTATTTTTGCTGTAACCAGTTACCATACACTTAGTGGCTCAAGACCCTACAGATAGATGTCTTCACTTCTAGTTCTGGAGGTCAGAAGTCCGACACGCAGGGCGGGACCCCTTCTGAGAATCCACCTCCTTGCCCTTTCCAGCTTGCAGAGGCCACCTCCACTCCTGGCGGCCTCATGCCACCCTGACCTCTGCTTCTGCTGTCACAGCCGCTTTCTGACTCGGATTCTCCTGCCTTCCCCTGTCCCCTTTTCTTCCCTTGGGCCCACGGGGACATGCTTTCCATCTCAGAATCCTCCATCACACATGCAGAGTGTGATGGACACAGGTGCAGGTTCTGGGGATTGGGACGTGGGCATCTTTATGGAATGGAACAGCGGGTCATTCGGGAAGGCTAGAGGATGTGGAAGGGACGTAGCAAGGAGGGAATCTGGGGGTAACAACGGTAGTAGTGATATTGATTGAGCGCCTACTGTGTGTTCTGCCATGTTTAAGTGCTTATTTACATAATCTCAGTATTGCCACGTCACTGATCTGGAAACTTCGTTTGATGGTTAGCCTATTTGTACGTGGTGGGGCCGGAACCCATCCTTGCCGAGAAGGGGTGTGTTTGGGAAGCGTACACGATAAGCAGGACTTCTGTTAAAATAGGGCTTCTCAGCCTCAGCATGGTGGGCCTTTGGGGCTGGATATTCAGATGTTTCCCTGTTGTGGGGCTGTCCTGTGCGTTGCACTTGTGGAGTAGTGTCCCTGGCCTCTGCCCGCAAAATGCCACCAGCACAACCCCCTTACCTCCAGGCAACCCAAAATGTTTACAAATGTCATATGACTCTTGGGGGAACAAACTTGCCCCCAGTTGAGAACCACTATATTAAAACACAAATCAGATCATGACTCATTAACCCCATGGTCCCCATGTCACTTTGAGTGAAAGTCAAAATCCCTACAGTGGCCTGGGAGTCCTCCACGATCTGTCCCCCCCCCAGCCGTGTGCCTTCCTCCCTGACTTCACCTCTTACTCTTGAGACACAGCCGCTTCTCTGTTACTGCTCGGACGTGCCAGACACGGTCCTGCCTCAGGACCTTGGCACTTGCTGCTTCCCCGGCTTGGGGCGCTCTCCCCCAGTGGCCATTTGGAGCACTCCCTTGTTTCCTTCTGTCCTTTGTTCAAATACCGCTTCTCAGCAGGGCCCTCCCTCCCCTTCCTCTGGGGCCTTTTCCTCTCTCAGGCACACGCACGCACGTGCACACACACACACACGCATGCACGCACGTGCATGCACGCACAGCCCTGCCTCCGCAGCCTCATCTCATCCTCCGTCTCCTCTCGGCAGGCTTTCAGCTCCAGGAGGGCTGGCCCTTTGTCCCTGTCGGTCATTGCCGGGTCCTCAGCCCCAGGAACGATGCTCAGTAGGTGAATGGGTGCTGTCTGTCCTGTTACTGCCATGTCCCCAGGCACATCCCTGCGCCTGGCACACGCTTGACCCCTCACAAGACCCTGGACCGAGACCAAGGGATTTGGTGGAGCTTAAGAGTCTAATAAGGGGACAAGAAGTGGCTGCAGGGGAGGAAACGAGCAAAGTGGCCAGGGCTGGATGCAGAAAACAGGGACAAGTGTCGGCTCTGCAGGGAAGGGCCCCCGGTGAGCAAGATGTCGGGCTGACATTCAGACATTCAGGCACCTGCAATGGGCAGCCGGGCAGCCATCGCTCTGTTTCTTTTTCAGCGCCGGAAGCCCTGCTGTGACGGGAGTCTTGGTTTCGCGTGTAACTTAGTTTTGCATGTCCCCTTCCTTGCCACGGTGTGACTCTGCAGCGCAGGCGTGAGGATGTGTGGTGCCTGCCCGGACAGGGCAAGGAGCACTTTGGGCCTCGGCCCTGCCTTCCTGGGTGTTGGGGGCAAAGTCTGCATGTTGCCCCCACCCCACGTTTCTGGGCTTATTCTCAGCTCTGATGAGTGGGGGGCAAGGGAAGGGTGCGGCTCAGCCCGCAGTGGGCAGGGGCGTCCCTGTCAGCTTGATGCTGGCGCCGCCGCTGCCTTCCTCCCATCCCGTGTGCCGGCAGCTATGCTCGCCTCTCGCTGGAGACGGAAGCCTGTCCCGGATCCTTGCAGGGCTGCGGTGGGAAAAGTACGCCCCATGCCTCTCTCTAAACAGGATGGCGTCCAAAAGCCCAGCGGGTCCCCTGACCTCCCTTCGGGCCTCCTTTCCTCACATTCCCTTGGCTTCTGTGCTACCCCTTTGCCGGGTGACCCACACTTGGGGCGGTTTTGCACATAGCCTTGGCCTTGACAGGCAGCCTGTTGCTTTGCCTTCCGCCTGCCCAGCCCATCTGTTCCTTGGTGGTTCGGTTCGTGCAGGAGAGTTTGTGGGGCCTGTGGAGCCAGGCGCTGCCCGTGTGGCTTGGGGCATGTTTTTGCGCCTCTGTTTGCCTCCGTGTCTCTCTCTGTAAAATAGGAATAGTTCCAGCACCTTCTCCACAGCCTGCGATGGTGTAGAAGGGAGGGGTGCACATGAAACCCGAGCGCGGCGCCAGCACAGGCAGTGCTTAGTAAGAGCTGCCGCTTTATTATTAGGGTTGCCGTCATCAGCCTGAGGGACAGCCCTGCAGGTTTGCACCCTGCTTCAGCCCTGGATGTGTCCCCTCGTGGCTGGAGATACCGAGAAGTGGTGGCTGGGTTCACACCCAGGCCCCAGCTCCAGGTCTGCGCTCTTTGTTGTCCCGTTGGTCCTCATTTATTCCCTTCCTCCTTTCTCTCTTGCCCTTCCTTCCTTTGTTTGTGAAAAGGCAGTGCATATTGATGCTTCAGAATCCAAAATATAAAAAGATATCCCTGGAAAGCATCCTACCCAACCCTGGACCTGCCTCCTGGGTTCCCTGGAAGTCACCATTGTTACTAGGTCCTAGGATATTTTTTTCTTTTCTTTCTTTTCTTTTTAAAAATTGAGACAGAGTCTTGCTCTGTTTCCCAGGCTAGAGTGCAATGGCATCATCCTAGCTCACTGCAGCCTCAAACTCTGGGG